ACACCTGATTACTGCCAGTTGAATCAAGAAATCACTTAAATAGAAGCTGTCTGACAACGAAGCATGCTAAAAGATTTAAAAAAGCAACACACCTTTCTGAAATTTAAAGAAATTCAGGAACAGATGAGAAACAAAATATTTGACATGTATCAGTCTGGAATGGGTTACAAAGCCATTACTTGGGATTTGGGACTCTAGCAAACCATGGTGAGAGCCATTATCCACTAATGGAGATAAAGTGGAACATTGATGAACCTTCTCAGGAGTGGCTGGCCTACCAAAATTACAACAAGAGTTCCACGACGACTCATCCAGGAGGCCATAAAAGAACCCAGAACAACATCTAAAGAACTACAGGCCTCTGTTTTTTTTGTCAGTGCTCATAATTCAACAATAAGAAAGAGACTGGGCAAAAATGGCATCCATGGAAGAGTTCCAAGGCAAAAGCCACTGCAGACCAAGAGAACACAAAGGCTTGTCTTACATTGGCCAAAAACATCTTGTTATCTCCAAGACGTATGGGCAAATATTCTGTGGACTGAGGAAAAAAAGATGAACTTTTTGGAAGGTGTGTGTCTTTTTACATTGAATGTGAAACTAACACAGCGTTTTATAAAAAAGAACATCATACCAACAGTCAAACATGGCGGTGGTAGTATGATGGTCTGGGGCGCCTTGCAGCTTCAGGACCTGGACAACTTATTTGATGAATCCTTGAATTCTGCACTCTGCCTGAAAATTCTGAAGGCGAATGTCCAGCCAACAGTTTGTGACCACAAGCTCAAGTGCACTTGGGTTATACAGCAGGGCAATGATCCGAAACACACCAGCAATCCCACCTCTGAATAGCTAAAAAAAAAAAAATAAATTAAGCTTTTGGAGTGGCCTATTCAAAGTCCGTACTTAAATCTGATTGAGATGCTGTGGCAGGACCTTAAACAGGTTGTTCCTGCTTGAAAACCCTCCATCCTAGATTGTAAGCTCGAAAGAGCAGGGCCCTCAATCCCCTCATGTTTTGCATTGTATTGTTATTGTTTTATCACATGTTCTGTCCCCCTTTTGTAATGTACAGCGCTGAGCGAACTATCGGTGCTTTATAAATACTGTATAATAATAATAATAATAATAATTGTGACTGAAATAAAACAATTCTGCAAAGAAGAGTGATGTGAAAGACTCATTGCCAGTTATCGCAAACACTTGATTTGCACTTGTTGCCGCCAAGGGTGGCACAACCAGTTAATAGGTTTAGGGAGCAATTACTTTTTCACATAGGGCCAGGCAGGTTTGGACAGCTTTTTTCCTTAAGAAATAAAATCCTCATTTAAAAATTGCATTTTGTATTTACTCAGGTTATCTCTGTGCAATATTAAAATGTGTTTGATGGTCTGAATCATTTAAGTGTGACAAATATGCAAAAATTAAAAATAAGGAAGGGGGCAAATATTTTTTCACAGCATAGTACATGTTTGTGTTCTGTGGGGGCCTAAGCAGCCCTATGGCAGCCCTTTTAGACCAATAATCAGTGGACTATCCCCTTCCCCAATAAATTCTTCTGCACAATGGTGATCAGAATAAGTGTCCCCAATGCATTGGTAGTCAGTGTAAATGTCCTTGTTACATTGTTGGTCAGTGGGAAAATTAAAACTTTCCAACTTACATTGGTGGTCAGTAGAAGATGAAGGTTCTCTTATGCTGGTGGTCAGTGGGTGATGAAGGATCCCCTTGCAAAGTGGCTCAGTTAGAGATGAAGGGGCACCTTACAAAGGTGGTCAGAGGGTCAGGTGAAAAAAAATAGTTTGTGTTAATGATGGTTTATCTGTGATAGAGGAGAGGAGAGGTCTGGTACCACCATTGGTTCTGGCGAGTTGCATCTTTTCCAGAACTATGCATTTTTAGGCAGGTATAGATACCTCCATTCAGCTGGCTTGGTAAGAAGAGCAGAGCTGTGAAGGACCCTGCTCTCCACACCCTTCTTACTTAAGCCCCAAAGATGTCATGTGGGCTGCTATATATACCCTATCAGACCATCATCATTGACTTCTCCTTCTGAGAAAGCTATTGGTTTGCTATTATGCTTAATCTAAGGCTTGAGTATTCTGAGTTACTGACTTGGAACAAATATACACATAAAGATAGGGAATGTTTCCTTTTTAGATTGACTGCTATGGGCAATAACTTCACTTTTATTCACATATTCTTTTCCACAGAATGGGTCCTATCTGTCCTGTTATCATAAATCCAATGACGCCTAAAATTTCCACTATTAGTCGTATAATCAGCCAAAATAAACATTACAAATTTTTAAGGTACCCAGCTGTATATAACACACAGCCTAAGGCACAAATTAAACATTTTAGCATAATTATGGTAAAACATTATGAGTTCAGCAAAAACTGAGAATTTAAAGCTAACTACATCTGCATTATTTAATTGTGGTACATTCATAATTCAGAAATGCACAAGGCAGAGATTGTAAAACCAAAAGAAATAAAACTGAACATACAGAACTCAGAATCTAATTGCAATGCATTTTTAATATGTTATGTTAAATGGGACTTTAATTGCAAGCTGGGTAGAATCTTCTCTAGAGGGTGTGGATAATGGACTGATGAATTCTGTGGGCCAGGTAGTGTCAAAGGTCAAACTGTCTGTGCAGATGGAACTATTGAGTACAAGATGAAAGTGCACTACATGTCCTGTCTCTGTTGTACTGCTTAAATTCTGCTAGAACAAATTAGCCATACAACATTGATGGAACCAACTGACATAGAACAGCAGTGCAATGTACAAAAGCCTGAACTTATTACAAGCATTTTGCTTAGTGTCAAATAACTTTGATTGTCATCCCGAATAGTCTGTGAAAAATGAATTCTCAACTACATGGTCTGTTGTTGTAGCATTTCGGCCTTGTCTACCCAAACTTTTTGACAGCCAAGGTGAAACAAGAGAAGCATTTATCTGTTCTGTATTATTTTTACTGCTACCTTTTTTGTGCTTATTCCTTGAATGATGCATTCAAAGCTGAATTCAATGCAAGTATCTAAATGCACAGGTATAACAGTTAAATACATGTAGCATGTAGGATGCTAAGTAAATTTGGTTTTTGGCTTCTTCTGTAAGCGAGGGAGCAGTAATTGTTTAAATTAGTCTACTCAGGGGTTTCACAGGATGAATGTTTGATTGCTTTCCCTGCCTCTGGAAGACTCTTCCAGAGCTTTGAGCAGAAGATTCAAAACAAGCAGCCTGAATATTTGTCAGGTTCAAGCCAATCCCTGGAGAGGAGTGCCCAGAAGGGGTCTGGAATGGTGCTTAATAGGCTGAAACATTGTGAGCAGGGTTCCTTGTCCCCAGTAGGGTTCCAGAGCCAGAGGGGCTACTGTCCTCAGGCAGCCGATAGACTGTGTAGCTGCTCTGGAGGCTTCAGCAGTGTTAATGCTGAGGGCCCAGATGGACTTTTGCTATAAGCTGTTTGCAGAACCTTACCACAAGGACCTGGTCTGGGGAGGTGCCGTCTCACTCACTGGACCGCAGGAAGGTATAAGTTGGCAGCTGAGTAATGACTAATCCCTATGATTGTGCAGTGTTCTGGAAATTGCAGTGGGTGCCAGCAGTTATGCATCAGTGCAAGGTAACCAGATGCCAAAAAGACTTGCACCTTGGTCTTCAAGCTGTGAGGCCTTAGATTGTTTAACACCCACTATTACTCAAGAAGAAGAAGAGTCCTTGATCAGGGCTTTTTTTCAACTGGAACTTGGTGGAACTCAGCTCCACCATCTCTGGCTCGGGCTCTCGTCTCCCTGCTCACCACTATCACTTGTAATCATAGAATTACGTCTTCAGTGTTTACAAGTTAAAGCGTGTCTCCCAGTGGCTCCCACAGATCTGATCTCCTGAGAGACTAATCCTGCTCATCTACTATTGTAGTCTAGAAACAATTTGTCAGATTGCATAGTCATGTAGTGACCTCACTTTCCTCCACTGCTGTCAAGCAAAAGAGCTTGGCAACCAACCTGTCTCTAGCCTGTTGATTTGGCAATGATGAAATCATCATTTCTTGTGTACTCATCTTTTATGATCCAGCTACTACTGTAAGATTGAGAACAGTGTTCAATGCATTGTAAGATAGTATAAAAACAGATTTAGGCAATTATACTTGATTAAAGATACAGGCAGGGGCGGACTGACCATTCGAGCACTCAGGTACTGCCCGAGGGCCCGGGGTCACTAGGGGGCCCTATGAAATGCCCCTGGTACCTTTTTTATAGGCTTTTTTTGGGTGTGCTTTGAGTGTGGGCAAAGACACAGGGCCCCATGATCCCCTATTGCCTGGGGGCCCCATGAGTTGTCAGTCCACCCCTGGATACAGGTGGTGTCAGTGCAGCTTAAGGAAAGGGATGGTAAGGGGTTAGTAATTCTGATTTTCCATACTAAATCCTGAAAGTCAAAGTAAGTGGTAATAGTATGGTGAAAAAGGGGTAGGCAAGCAAAAGGAATTATATAACTATAAAGGGTTAGTTAAATAGAGCAGAAGTGCTGATAATTGTTTAGTTAATTAACAAGAAAAACAAACAGATTGGTCATACTTTGACAAATATTTATTTTTTAACCACCTTCTGCCCGCCCTATAGTACAATGACGGGTGCAAGGTGGTTCTCTCGTTCTGATAGGACGTCATATGACGTCCTACCATTCTCACTGCGCATACGCGGCTCAGGGAGCGCGCAGCGCGGCGATCGCCGGTCCGCTGTGTTCCTCAGACACAGCAGATCATGGAAAGAGCCGAAGATGTCGGCTCGGTCATGTGATCAGCTGTGTCCAATCACAGCTGATCACATGTAAACACGGAAATGCCGGTTATTGGAATTCCTCTCCTCTCGAGCTGTCACGCTGACAGCTCGAGAGGAGAGCCGGTAATCGGCTTTCCGCGGAGGGGACATGTACACTGATCATCAGGGCACTGATGATCATGCCCTGATGATCAGTGTGGCCCCAGAAGTGCCACCTGTCAGTGTCCATCAGTGCCAGCAGTCAGTGCCACCTGTCAGTGTCCATCAGTGCCAGTGCCCATCAGTGCCACAGTGCCCATCAATGCCACATATTAGTGCATACCAGTGCACATCAATGCCACATATCAGTGCCCATCTGAGCTGCCTTTCAATGTCACCCATCAGTGCCAATCAGTGCCACCTATCAGTGCTGCCAATCAGTGCCACCTATCGGTACCAGTCAGTGTCGCCTATCAGTGCCAGCCCGTGCCAGTCAGTACCGCCTATCACTGCCAGTCAGTGCCGCCTATCAGTGCCAGTCAGTGCCACCTAACAGTGCCAGTCAGTGCTGCCTTACAGTGCCAGTCAGTGCCACCTATCAGTGCCAGTCAGTGCTGCCTATCAGTGCCGCCTATCAGTGCCATATATCAGTGTCATGTATCAGTGTCATGTATCAGTGCTGCCTTTCAGTGCCCATCAGTGATGCTTGTCAATGCCCATCAGTGCAACCTACCAGTGCCTCCTCATCAGTGCCCATCAGTGCCACCTATCAGTGTCCAACAGTACAGCCTATCAGTGCCCATCACTGCAGCCTCATTGGCGCACATCAGTGAAGGAGGAAAATCACTTATTTACAGAATTATATAACAAAAACTAAAAAAAAACTTTTTTCAAATTTTCAGTGGTTTTTGGTTTGTTTAAGAAAAAATAAAAATCCCAGCGGTGATTAAATACCACCAAAATAAAGCTCTATCTGTCTAAAAAAAAATGATAAAAATTTCATATGGGTACAGTGTTGCATGACCGCGCAATTGTCATTCAAAGTGTGACAGCGCTGAAAGCTGGAAATTGGCCTGGACAGGGAGGGGGTATAAGTGCCCTGTAGGCTACTGGTTAATGCCTACCACACATTATATCATTTACAAATTCTATTAGTTACAAAATACTGTTTCATAAAATGTGATCAGATAAAAAGTATATACTGCATGTAAAGATAGTTTACTGAAATTATGGCAATCATTTTGGAATGTATACCCTGAAATGTAAACAAAACAGCCAAAAAACATGCTGATTGCAGAAGCCACCTACCCTTCAACCTCAGATGTCAACATCATGGACTTACCCCTGCAGTCAGTGCTTTAGTTTCAGGTTTTTGCAGAGGGCTCTAAAACAGCTGCTAAATGAATGGGGGAGACAGGCACACTTCATTGTTGATGCTTTGAGATATAAAGCTGATGAAAATAAACAGAGTTTGGCACCAGAACTACCTGCTTAGTGTAATGTCCAGATGCTGACACTTCAGTCAAAGTAAATAGTGGACAAGTGCAGTGTCACTTCCCACATGGAAGAAAAATATATTTGAAATATATTTTAAAAACATTCTTCCCAAATATATTGACATATATTTGAAATGCTACAATGTTTCCCATATTCAATATATTTATATAAAAATACATTTCAGGGGGCGTATGCGCGGCCGACTCCTGGACAGACGCGGTGTGACAGGAGCTCCGTCCACCTGCTAGCAAATGGAATGGCTTACCCCGACCCCAAAGCAAACTAACCAGCCAGACTGAAAGATAAGGGTGTCAGCACCCTCCTTGTGCAATGCCACGATGCAGGAAAGCCCCTGGACAACCAGGGAAGCTCACCAATTTCTTCCCTGTCACAGCATCCAGCCAAGATGGCGCCGGCGGCTCCTTAAATGGCCAGCGTCCTTATGAGGGGAACTACAACGCCCAGCAGCTGGATCCCAGGCTTAAAAATCCTCTCTACCCAGGAGACCCAGGTAAGTCCTCTCCCCCTATCACCCACCACAAGCAGCCCAGCCAAATCCAGGCCCAGACTAGACATGGACCCCCCATCTGCTACTCAGCCTCTCCTCACACAGATGTTACCGCACACCAATGTACCATCTTTGATAGATTCCTTCCCTGCTGCTGACCAACCAATCACCGAAATAAGCATGACGAATAGGCTTTTATCTCCACGTCAAACATTACATAGCGATATAACAGCATCAATATCTCAAATCTCAAATGTGTTGCAGCAACAAGACCACCGACTGCGCCACATTGAAAGTAAAATGGGAGAAATGGTTACAGCACACAATGACCTGATTGACGCACACGCAGACCACGATGCTGATATTGAAAAAATAAACCTTAAATTAGCGGATTTAGAAGATCATTCCAGACGCAATAATATTAAATTCAGAGATATACCTGAGAATGTTACCAATGACGCATTGCTCCCCTATATTCACCAGTATATGAAACACCTCATTCCATCACTCTCGGACATAGAGCTAGCCATTGATTGAGCACACAGGATACCCAAACCATCGTTCCTCCCAGCTTCAATCCCCAGAGATGTTTTAGCACGCATCCATTTTTACCACATAAAGGAAAAATTTATGTCAGCAGCTAGAAACCCACCACCACTCCCGCCATCACACACAAATATCAAATTATTTGCTGATTTGTCAAAAGCCACACTACTCAACCGCAAAAAGCTAATTACCATCACCAAAGCGCTGAGGAACCATGGATAAAGCTACCAATGGGGTTTCCCCACAAAAATCACCGTTAAGTACCATGGTACAATCTACACCATCAAAAACCTAGAAGCAGGCATCGACCTCCTAAAGTCCTGGAAAATAATACCTGTAGAGCCACACCAATCCACCTCAGCCAATACATAGCAAATGGATGCTGAATGGTCCTGACGTACAACACCCTCAATCCTTCTGCATCATATTGCCTTGGGCATTATATTTTCATTACTACATGCTAGCAAACAGCCCGTTACCAAATATTTCTATGTTAAAAGATACTTTTTGGTATAATCTTTTTCACGATCAATACCAGTTCATACCCCCTGATATGAAGTAGCCAGTTCTGCTACTCATTCTACTTGCATTTTTAGCAAGGTTTTTTTACCCTTTCTTACCTTCAACCTTTCCTGCATCACCAGTCAATCGACCAACTCCTCCGCTCAACTGAAATTCTCACTACAACAAGGAAAACTTCTCCTATCTCAAAGACCGAACCAAAACCATACTACCCCCATACATGGAAAGACATCATCTACGACCACGACCAATCAGCTCTCTTCAACAATTAAAGAAACAACGTTCCTACTCAGTTAACCCACCTAATAACCTTCAAAATGATTAGTATATCCTCGCTTAATGTGAGGGGCCTCAACTCCCCCTTCAAAAGATCATTGCTCCACAAAGAAACTCGCTCACTTCATGCTGACGTACTCTTCCTACAGGAAACCCACTTCGCATCAACTAAAATCCCCAAGTTTCATCTTCACCGTTACCCCCACGTATACCAAGCAACAAACCCCAAAAAGAAAAATGGAGTCATCACAGATCATGTGCCATAAAAGACTCTATTCAATTCCATCACATCTCAGAAATAGTAGACCCTCTAGGGCGCTACCATATTTTGATATGCAAACTCAACAATATTCCCTACACTCTGGTGAACGTCTACGGTCCCAACGACAAACAGATACAATTCTACAACAAACTTCACTCCACCATATCTTCTCAAGAACAAGGCAGACTTCTCATCGGCGGAGACTTCAACGTCATTGGCAACCCACTGCTGGACTTTTCCTCCAACAAAAGATCCCCCAATCAAAACTTCAACCGTTTCTTACACGAACATGATCTCTATGACATCTGGTGATGCCAACATAGCACAGAAAAAGACTATATTTACTACTCCCCATCCCACTTATCCTACTCTAGGATTGACTTCTTTGTCACAGACAAATGGACTCTACAACATATAAAGTCCTCCAAAATTGGCACCATAACCTGGTCTGACCATGCTCCAATCAACATAGCCTTGGACAACAATCAACATCCCCCAATCCCTCGCATATGGAGACTAAATTCATCGATATTGAAGAACCCGGATGACAAAAAGCAATTGCTAGAAGCGCACAACATGTTTTTCGAATGTTATACCACACCTGATATCTCTATAACCACATTGTAGCCTGCTTACAAAGCATACATGAGAGGTATCCTCATACAATTAAATTCACGTATCACCAAACTGAGAACCCAACAAATTGACCAACTCCTGACTTCCATATTATTAAAAGAAGAATTGAACAAAAAAAATCTAACTCCCTCCATTTCTACATCCCTTGCATCAGATAGAAACAAACTCCGAGCCCTCCTACTCTATAAATATGACCTTAACCTAGAAAAAACTAAAACACAATTCTATTCCCTAGGTAACAAAGCAAATTCCTTTTTAACAAAATCAAACAACGACGCCTAAAATCTAAAATCTCCTCAATTCTACACCCAACTACTCAGACCTCTCTCACAAATCCGCAAGATATAGCTAATGCTTTTGCGGCCTATTATCAAAAATTATACAACCTCAAAACAGACCCAAACACAACCCGACCAACAGCCACATCCATACAAAAATTCTTAAGCTCTACAAACTTACCCCAACTAAACCCCAACACAACTCACATCTATATCCAACCCAATATCACCTATGGAGATAGAAAAAGTAGTCAAAACCTTACCTCATAATAAATCACCAGGAAACAATGGTTTTTACCAATGAATTTTACAAGATATTTGCCTCTGACCTTTCACCACACCTATCCAAACTCTTCAACCATGCCGCCTCTACGGGAGAATTCCCCAAAGAAATGTTACAATCCGTAATCACTACAATTCCCAAACCTAGTAAAGACCCCCATATTGTCCAAAACTATAAATCCATTTCACTACTTAAAACAGATATAAAAATCTATGCCAAAATAATAGCCCAAAGACTCCAAAACTATCTCCCTACTCTAATACACCCTGACCAAGTAGGATTTATCTCTGGTCGCCAAGCACCAGACGCAACCAGAAGACTCATATCCCTTATCCACAACTTAGAAACCACCAAAACAGCCCTCCCTATTACTATCCCTGGATGCAGAAAAAGCATTCGACCGCATACACTGGAACTTCATGCAACTAACACTACAAAAATTTGGTATCACAGGCTGGCTGCTATCAGCAATTCTTTCCCTATACTCCAACCCATCAGCCAGAGTACTAACGGACGGCACACTCTCAGACCCATTTAACATTTCAAACGGCACTAGACAAGGATGCCCCCTATCTCCCATAATATTTACCCTTCTCATTGAGCCCTTAGCCTCAATATTCAGAGACGATGCCACATTCACAGAAATCACACACACGAAAACAGAACATAAAATGAGCTTATTCGCAGACGATATTATACTAATGATTACTAACCCACACAAATCGCTACAGACAATCCGCTCACACCTTCAACATTATTCGGGCGTCTTCTATTATAAACTCAATGAAACCAAATCCTCTATCCTAAACCTTCATACACCTATACAGACCCGAACAATACTAGCCAAACAATTCTCATTTTCTTGGGAACAACACAACATCCCTTATCTAGGGATCAAGCTCACTGCTATGACAGATCAGTTATATTCCTCGAATCACAAACTCTTACTTGAAAACCATACCACGAGAACTTACCAACCTCCGCACAGCTACATTATCCAAACTAGGACGAGTAGCAACTCTAAAAATGTACATATTACCCAAAATTCTATACATAT